CCCTTCAACAGTCTTTTAATACAGCAGGAAATAATCCTGGATATACTGCATGTCTGACCCGTGTTTTACTTCAGCTTTATGTTTTCTTATTTCCAGTAATATGTAAACTTTGCATTAGAGCCTCTCTGGAGCCCTGGCAATTCACACAACTAAGTACTGAAGTGAGCAAGCTATTGTACAAGGCTTAACAAGCTCTACCCCTCACTCTTGCATTGTGATTAGCTCAGAATAATTACTTCTGGAGATAACTGATGAAGATCATATTACGCTGAGGCAAAACAGAGATCTGGCTAAATGTGAATTAATTACAGCTGAATAGAGAGGACAGGGGGCAAAGATATCACAGGACTATTGCTATTATTTATGAAAGGGTTCATAGAGAATTCAAATAATTCCTTATACTCACAATAGCTGTCGGAGTTGAAGCCAGCACACAGTACAGCACAAGAGGCGAAATGAAGCTCTCATCTTCTGTCCCAGGGTAGGGTTTCATCAAACTGCCATCCTGACAAAAGAAACCTTGGATATGCACCTGAAAAGTGTCGGTGTACTCAAAGTAGTAGGCGAGCAGAACAGTCCCAGCCATGATGACAAGCTGAAAATAAAGCATAATCACAGAGAGGCGTTAGTTGCTTTTTGAACAGATGCAGCTGTGCCTCTGAGCTACTCCAGTCCTGTGGACCATCCTCCCTTCACCGTCACTCTGACAGCCCCCACCATAATGGGGTGTGAGTGTGTGTGTGTGTGCTTCTGTGCCTTTGCTTTGCAACATCTGTTACATAAACCTTTTTGGCAAACGACAGTAATGAACGTCTCAGATAGGAGCAGGTCTGTGCAGAGGGACGGGGGCTGTGACAGCCACTTCATCAAAGGGCATGTGAGTGTCAACAGTAGCGACGATCGATGGCAGTGCCAGGATGAGGGGCAGGAACCAGCAGCAGTGACAGCTTAAACCTGTGCACAGTGGTAAAGGATTATTACAAAGGAAAAAGGAAGCTAAATGTTTCCCTCCTGCAACTGCAAGCCCATGCTGGGGAATGTGCACTTTCTGCTAATCCAGAAGAGCCCTCTGTGTCCCAGTAGAAAACTTGCCTCCTGCCACTCACCCTTCCTTAGAGCTGCTTCTTATGAGTAAAGCTTTAGAAGTCTACTCAGAAGTCCTGACCCTCCAACCAACCAGTGGGGGCTCCTGTACATTGCCTGGCTTCCCCACTCCAGCACAGCTGCTTTTGAAAAAACTGGCTTGAGTCTGAAATTTCATTTTTAGATATAAATGCAGGGAGCAGTTCTGGTCTCTGTTTTCACAGTTTATGGCTGGCTAAAAGGGTTAGTTGGAACCTCAGCTATCCACTTTTTTGGTATATCTCCACAGTTACTGCGCATGTCAGTGTCTGCATCAGCTTCCAGGACTGTTTCAACAACACAGCTCAGAACAATCTCACCGAAGTTGTCACTGACCTCACCTCCTGAAAGTAAGCATATTTACTAATTTTTGTTCCCTCTTTGCCAGACTGCAAAGGAAATCTCACATCACAGTCCTCATCAATGACAGAAACAGCAATATTGATTTATAACTGTTTGTTTAGAGGTAATGGTTCTAAACTAAAAGAGGATCAATTCAGATTAGATATAAGGATGACGTACTTTACAGTGAGGGTGGTAAAACACTGGTACAGGTTGCCCAGGGAGGTGATGGACACTTCATCCCTGCAAGTGTTCAAGTCCAGGCTGTACAGGGCTTTGAGCAGCCTGGTCTACTGAAAGGTGCGTTCCTTCTCATTGCAGGAGGGATAGACTAGATGGCCCCTAAAGGTTCCCTCCAAACCAAACATTTCTATGAATCTATGATTCTAAATTATGACAAACACAGGATCTGATTCAGAATCCTCTTTATGAACACTAGTGCCTTCTGCCACTATTACAAGAGTTGTTACATATACAAGTTATCTTGCCACAACACAGAAAATAATGAAGAAAGGGAAATAACCAATGCCAAAGTGGCCCGGTTTTGGTATTTTGCCTTCAGGATTTCTGCATCGAAACTGTCTTGCTGTGAGATTATTGCAAGACTTTTGAAAACTAATTTTGGCAATTCCAGTGCAAATATACACTTGAAGCTATCCATGCATTCCTCTGGCCTGACCTTGCACACATGCTCTGACACACAGCCAGACATTAAAGCCATTGTATATTTGAATGAGAGTTGGACTAAAATTAGAAAAAGTCCCACAAAATGAGAGAAGTCACAGATGAAAGTAGAGGATCGCAGAATCCTCAACAGTGGTTGAGGTTGGAAGGGACCTCTGGAGGTCAGTTAGACCACCCTCCTCTGCTGAAGCAGAGACACTTTCAGTTGGCTGCCCAGATGGCTTTTGAACATCTCCACAGACGCAGTCTTCACAACCTCCCTTAGCCACTTGTAAAACAGACTTAAGAAGGTCACAATAAAGCCCTAGTTCAGAAATTCCACACCCTCTCCCATTTTTTACCTTTAAAATGAATAATCTCATTTTGTAGCCATATTATTTTCAAGACCTTATACCTGCCCAAAAGGAAGTTTTTTTAGCAAACTTAAAGCAAGATGTTGCTATTTGTGTATTCCCCAGAGACCCCTACAGCACGCTGGATGAGTCCATGAGATTCCCTATAAACAAACACAGCCCTATAACTAAGGACTCAGAACTTAATTTAGACCTGAATTTAACTCCTTGAGCAGCTGCAGTTTTCCTGATCAACCTTGGGCAACTCAGTTTTATTAATTAACATCAGAGGAAGGCAATGACAGTATCACTGTGTGACATGCCCAGATTAACACATTGGAGATTACATGATTCTTGGATATATAGGTATTTAAACTCAGTTCTAGCACCTCAGATTCCCTGGGCTGTCTGAAGCAATTTGAGCCACCCTTCCTGGCCCAAACACACTCCCAGACATACTTTAGGTTGTCAGCCCCAGCCAGCAAACAGAGGGGAGAGAACAGGAGAGGGGACAATACACAGTAGTTCTTTTCCCCTCTTACTGGGAAAGGGAGAAAAGCAGATTACTGAACTTATAACCTTCTTTGGGTGTCTGTCGGGGTTTACAGCAGGTCTGCTGGAAGAAAGACAGGACTATAAAAGCAAATATCCTGAACTTTTTGCAAAATCACAATGAGCTTGCTAGAGCTTAGTCACTATGAGTCTACAAATGCTGAATCATCGTGAGTGTGCTACAGGGCAGCCAATCCTGACGCATGTTTCTTTAAGACACCAATTGTAGTGTAACATGTATGTTATACCAAGGGTTATAAATGTCAGTGACTTGTTACAACAAAGGATCTATCCCTCTCCTGTCCTATTTTTGGAAGAAGACTGTTTCTGTGTCACTTTGGCCGTCTCAACAGCGACAGGTGTCATATGGAAAAAAACTGCTTTTCAAAAAATGTTGGGTTTTTACACAGGAGAAATATGTCACTTATCCCAAATGTGGACTCTAGATGTCAGCTGCACAATTAACTCTCTCCCATTGCCAAATGCTGCCTCAGTGCTGCATGAAACCCCCTCCTGCATGTCCTGGTTGATCAAGGGAAGCTAGTCAATGTAATTTTTTTGGATTTCATTAAAGCTTTCGATACTATCTCTCACAGGATCCTTCTGGACAAACTGTCCAGCCCACAGCTGGAAAAACGCATCATGTGATGGGGGACCAATTGGCTCATGGGTTGAGCACAAAAGGTAATAGTGAATGAGGCAACATCAGACTGGCGACCTGTCACTAGTGGGGTTCCACAGGGTTCCACCTGTGCTCTTCAACATCATCATAAGTGACTTCGACATGTTCAGAACTGGAAGGGACACTGAGCAAGTTTGCAGATGACACAAAACTGGGAGGAGCTGTTGACTCCCTCCAAGGCAGAGAGGCCCTGCAGAGAGACCTTGACAAATCAGAGGGCTGGGCAATCACCGACCATATCAAGTTCAACAAAGGAAAGTGCTGGATTCTGCACCTGGGATGGGGCAGCCCTGGATATATGGACAGACTGGGAAATGAGAGGCTGGAAAGCAGTGCAAAGGACCTGAGGGTCCTGGTCGATGGCTAATTGGCCATGAGTCAGCAGTGCAGGAGGGCCAACTGTGTCCGGGGGGCATCAGGAAAAGCATCGCCAGCCAGGCAAGGGAGGGGATTGTCCCACACTGCTCTGACCTGAAGTGGCCTCACCTGAAATATTGTGGCAGTTTTGGGCACCACAATATAAGAAAGATATTAAGCCATTAAGTCCAGAGGAGGGCAATGAAGATGGTGAAGTGTGTTGAGGGGAAGCCGTACGAGGAGTGGCTGAGGGCACTTGGTTTGTTCAGCTGGAGAAAAGGAGACTGAGGAGAGAACTCATTGCAGTTACAGCTTCCTTGTGAGAGGAAGAGGAGGGGCAAGCACTGATCTCTTCTCTGTGGTGACCAATGGCAGGACCCGAGGGAATGGCCTGAAGCTGTGTCAAGGAGCTTAGGTTGGAGCTTAGAGAAAAATTCCTCACCCAGAGGGTGGTTGTGTGCAGAAACAAGTTCTCCAGGGCACTGGTCACAGCACCAAGGCTGACAGAGCTCAAGAAGTGTTTGCATGATACACTCAGGCACAGGGTGTGACTCTTTGGGATGGTCCTGTGCAGGGCCAGGAGCTGGACTCAATGACTCTAGTGGGTCCCTTTCAACTCAGCATATTCTGTGATTCTAAAATACAGCTCTAGACCAACATAAATCAACATTGACCTGAACATTACAGATCACACAATCACAGAATTGTTTGGGCTGAAAGGGACCTTAAAGCTCATCTCATTCTAATCCCTTGCCATGGGCAGGGATACCTTCCACTAGACCAGGTTGCTCAAAGCCTCGTCCAACCAGGCCTTGAGATATATCAATAATGAATCCAATCCTGTTAACACTTCAGTTTCTGTGTTTTGTTCTTTTGAGAAAGAAAACAAGCATACAAAATCTGCAAAAGAGATCTGAATTGTGAACACATCATATCCTGTAGGTGATGTCTCCACCATCTCATGGAAACAGTAACAGCAGATATTGGAAATTAGACCTCCAGCTCAACAGATCCTACCACAGTCACACAGTGACAAGGGATGATGTGAGGTACAGCTGTTACCACTAATGTGAGCAAAATTTATGCTGCTCATACAGTCAGTGAAGACCTGACCACATCTGTGTGGCATGTTCCTGTGCCTCATCTTGAGGCACTGCTCCAAGGAGCTTCCCAGAAAAAGGCAACCAGAAACCTGGAGAACTTACTTTCTTCTTCCTTTTCTTTTTCCTTTTCTCTTTCTGTTCTACTAGGCGACTATTTCAAATCTATTTACTGCGATATGACTGAGGTAACTGGCTGTTTGTGCAGGGGAAATTCTAATTGCAACTGTTGCACAGTGGTAATTTGTGACTGAGGCACAGAAGGCAAGAAGGTCCAAGTGCAAGAAGGCGTCAAACTGGCTGGAAGCAGGATGCCAAAAGACAGAAAGATTCCCTGCAAGGAAGGAAACCTTCCCTGAGGGCTGAGATAAAGAACAGCTGCAATGTTGCCTTGTAGATGTCTTGGAATTTGAGTGCTCTGGGA